TATAGTTGTAGGTCAACCAAGATGGAGACATATCAAAATATTTCAGAACCAAGCAGGCTTTAGAATAAGATTCTTTTTTTGAGTTGTATCCATTATAATATGCATTCCTCCTTGTGCGCAATGGAGTGCAACCATCAAACAAAGAAATGATACTCTAGGGAATGACACGTGGTCTGGAATAGGAAAACATTATACCCGTTCCACTAAAATCCTAAAATTCAAGAGTTTTTTAAGTGCTCTTGAAAATGTGAATTAAATTCAAGGAGTTTTCAAAGGTAGCATGAACCCTGTTAGTAGCCGACTATATAAAGTTGTTTTACCTCTGAAATGGGATCTTCAATAATGATGGTAACTGGCCTTGATTTGACTCTGCTGACTTTGTTCTTAGCAACCACATATGCTAGAAAACTATACAAAAATGACAGTTTATGACAATTTAACACTAAGATACTATCTGGCATATCTTTATAGTCCTGATTCTCCAAACATTTAGCAAATGTAAGCAACATTTTACATTTTGACCTCAATCAATTGATCTGACATATCTATTGTAATTTTAACAAATTGCTCATACATTTCCATTGACTGTCATCTTGACTTATTGATCATAGATGTCATCTTAAAATGTTCAAAAATTAATTGGAATCACGAGTGCAGTGAGTAGTGGGTAAAATAAAAAATTAGAGTGGAGATTTGATAGTAAACGTTTCCCCCCTAGTACAAATACTCCAGACTTTTCAAGTTYTCTGTTGCTCAGGGTTGACCTTGATTTTGTGCAGAAATATGTGTTCCAGTGAAGGTGAAAAATGTCAGTGTTTGTATTGTATATAATAGGCTTATTAAAAACAATGGAACCGTCCACAACACTGAAACAGCGACTCGCACTCATTAGACCGATGCTGCCATTTACGCAAATCCAGGTAATTAGGCTATTGTTATCACAGTGGCAGTATAAATATGACCAATCTGACTTACACGTAATTCTTCACTTGACTCTGAAGATGAATTCCACTCAGGGTGTTGAAACATCAGTCACATCAAACAGTCCTCAGGACTACGTCCACCCAGATGATCATAATGCATAATGCATGATTTTGTATTGTAAGTTGAAGTTGTGCATTATTCTTTACTTTACCGCAGGTATTTGTGAATATTTAGACATTGATAAGAGGCTTACACTGAGTCTGCAATCAAGGAGCACAGCAGTAATTTGGAACTCGAAAATGGTCTATTAGAGTGAARTTTCACGTGCTTTTTAACTAGTAATCTTTAATTCAACCCTTAAAATGTAATAGAGCAAGAGTTCTTGGCTGTAATACTTACCTGCCAGCAACTGTGAAATCACTCTCATGATTTGGAAAATTTGAATCAACACTGTGATTGCGCATAAACCACTCGTATTTTGTATTCTTTGCTTCTGAGTGTGGCTGGAGGTGAGCAACAAACTTGAAAGTTGTGAAAGTACTATAGATGTTCTTGTGGGATGACAAGGGACTATCAATTGATATGGTTACATCTTTGGAAAGTAAGAAAGAAAAAAAAACATGGATTTAATATTCTATAAGTTTGTTATATAAATTAATAGTCCCCTTCACAGTTCCCTTTGCCATCTTGAAAGGTAGCCATGCCTTTTTACATCAAAGCAAGATGAACGTAAGCTTGCAATGATAGAGACCTTTTTTAACACCTTGGACAATTATTCACATCTTTATCATTGCAAGCTCACTGTTTGTCTTGCTTCGATGCAAAGGCAAGGCTATACCTTTCAAGATGGCAAAGGGAACTGTGAAGGGAACTGTGAAGGGAACTGTGAAGGGAACTGTGAAGAGAACTGTGTAGGGGACTATTGTGGATGTTATTGCAATCATAATATTTCATTTCAAGTGGGAGGAGCATGTCCCGTTTACCCCCTAGATCTGGTACTGCCAATGTTGTAGCACCATTAAAGCATATCTATATAATCCAATCTTCCAGAGCACAGGGGCTGTGGAGCAAACTAAAAAGTGTGTGTGTGTGTGGGGGGGGGATGGGGGGCTAGTATTGAGACCTGTATGAGAAAAATTTGGGGTTAAGATTGGGAAATGAATTCAAAGTTCTAAGTATTTTAATATTATAATCAAATAAGCCTTTTCATAGTTTAAGAATCGATTCCACTGCGCATGCGATTTTATCCCGAATTTCTCACCTTCTTTTGTTTGATAAAGAACAAAAGAAGGTTTAGACAAAAGAAGGTAGAAATTCGGGATAAAATCGCATGCGCAGTGGAATCAATTCTTAAACTGTGAAAAGGTTTATTGTACATATTAAGAACTTTTTACTTACTAGTTAAGTTTGATTGGATGTATGCAAAACCTGACTCTTCAAGACTCCCAATACTGTTGTATATTCTGACTTTAAACTTGTATTTCTTTGTTGCATTGAAAATGTGTGACACCTTTGGCACTACAAAGAAAACATAACAGGAATTTTGACACAAAACACTAAAAATGTGAGCTAATTTCATAGATATGTGTTTGCATTCTTTCATTAAGCAGGAATGAATTATACGAATGAATTGTGGGCTAGAAATGAATTAAACTAAATGCTATAATTCATGCATGTATAGTGATGAAATATAGCTTAATAGCCTGCATACATTATTTTCAGAAACTCAGCTTGTAAACACAGGTTATGCAATTACGAAAATTCATCAGAACTTACCTTGAGTGGTAACCGAAGGACTTCCATCATCAAAAGTCCAGTTATAAGTCAATTGACAACCACCAATAGGTTTAACTACTAGTTCTACTGAAGTGCCAGGAAGGCCACTAGCAGGATCAATCAAGATAACTTTTATCATTTCCTGGACAACAACAGGTATGGCAGGCAGACTTTGATTAGAGAATGCATTAAATGCTGATACACTGATGGAATAGGTCCCACAATAACTGTATGCATGCCAGATTGTCACACAAGTTGGACCCATAGAAAGTGAATCGTAGAGCCTGGTTGATGTCAAATTCACAGCAAAGCTGGTATTTTCTCCAAATGAGACCGCAAATGTAACATTTGATCCTTCACTGACTGCAGCTTTAATATAAAGTGGTTTCTTAGTAGATATCAAGGATACATTCTGATGTCCTTGCACAGACATTTGTGTTTTGGGGTTAATATCTACTATGTGTAACCCTGACAATGGAAGCAAGATGTCCAAAACATGACACTTCTTTACTTGAGACACCAAATTTTTGGCACTGGCACAAATCTTAAAGTTTCCAGGTCTCCGCAGTGAAATGTTTAGTGAGGAAATAGTTGTATTTCCATTGAGTAAATGAGTGCTAAAGTTTAAAGAACTGTTATTGATTTCCCAATTAATGTAAATGTTGTTTAAGGATTTATTGTTGCTTTGAAGAGAGTCCAATCCCATTACTTCGTTGGCAGGTCTTCTTATCAGCACAGAGTATTTGAAACTCAAAGTAGTATTAACTTGCACAGTTTTTGAAGTTGGAGTTAATGATGCTGAAACTATGAATGGAATGGCAGTGGAGTAGACACTTTGAGAGTGCATACCACCACAACGAAGATCTGGACTACTTACACACCTAAAGAGGCAACAATAAACATTAATATGGAGGTTTTAATTGCACATGTATACATTGTGACTGGCGGACTGGC